AATTAAGCTGTTAAAAAAAAAAAAGGCCAACAAGCACATGCAGAGATGCATAACACCTCTGGACACCAGGAAAATGCAAATCAAAACCATGAAATACCACTTCACATCACTAGGATGATTAAAATTAAAAAAGACAGGCCCTCCCTGGTGGCACAGCGGATTAAAGCACAGCACTAAGAAGTTAAAGCCACTTCCGCATGAGTTTGATTCCCACCTGCCCCGGAGGAGATCCACATGGCGCAGCAGACCTCTCCTGACCCGCCCGCTGCTCCCCTCAGCAGTGTACTTCGTGGATCTGCCTGTTCTGCTCCCCACTCTGTCTCTGGTGAATCCTCTCACCCTCCGTATCTCTGGCCTGTACCCCAGTTCTGTATGAAATAAATAAATCTAAAAAAATTTTTAAAAGACAAATAACAACATGAGTGAAGATGTGGTGAAACATGGTGGAAAAGTAAAATAGTGTAGCTGTGTAGTGTACACAGGCAATTATAGCAGCACTATTCATAACAATCAGAAGGTAGAAACAACCAAACTGTCCATCAACGAATGAAGGGTTGTAACCCCACAATGGCAATTTGATCATGAAAAGGAATGAAGTACTGATGGAACAATGCAGAGGAACGTCAAAAAAATATGTTAAGTGAAAAAAGTCAGAGACAATTCCATGCAATATCCAGTGTAGGCAAATCCAGAGAGAGAAAGTAGCTGGTAGTTGCTGGGGCTGAGAGTAACAGGATGTACAGAGTGACCCATTAATGGGCACATGGTATTCTTTTAGTGGGAGGAAATGTGAAAAGCTTCTGCATCTGATATAAATGATGGTTGTAAGATACTCTGAATATACTTAAATGCTACTGAAATATATACACTTTAAAACTGTTAACTTTAATGTTCTACAAACACTAAAAAAAAAAAAAATGTGCAAACAGGCATACATTTCCCCAAAGTCCCTCCTCATGTGGCATATAATCTGTGCAAGTTCCCAGTGGCATGTAATTCACACAGAGAGCTATCTCCTTTTACTTCCAAACACCATGATGTCTGATATGGTATGGTGGTAAAACTGAAGGTACTTGTTTTTTTATTTTTTTCTTCACATACACACTTTCCCACCTCTTTATCACATCCTGATCATTCAGATGGGAAATACCCACATTATGCTTCATCCAAATTCTGACTACAGCTTGTGGCCTTCTAGCAATCACGTGAGCTAAGTCAAACAAAAATGAACATTCCCTGTGTTTTAAGAGCTGAAGTTTACAGGATTTTCTGATGCCTCTGGCCTTTACCTTCTTGAATTAACTTTCTCTATTCTTGACATTTCTTAAGTCTGGGCTACATTTGTACACCTCCTACATGTCCTTTCCCCCATTTCTAGGTATTTTCATGTTCACGACAAAGCATCACAAAGACTTAAGCAGCTCTCCTTCCAACCCTTTCTGGAGTTTTAAGGGAAAAGGGGTAGGCCAATGTAAACCATAACATATAAACAAAAGCAAAAGCAGGAGAAAAAAAGTCTCAAAATGAACCATGACAGTACTCAAAGTATAAGTAGCCCAAAAGATAAAACCTTATATATCATTATCAAACAGTCATCTTTTTTTCCAGAACAAATATTAACTGAGGAACAATTATGCTGAAGGCACAAATAGTAGACAGCCCAACTGCGGCTTATGGTGTTCAAAGACTGATCATTCACATTTGATAATTCTCTTTTAAGTTAAATAAGTGTCTGGTCAATTAAATATGTTATTACTGGTTTTTTTTCCCTTGGTCTATTTCAAGACATACACAGTGAATTAGGGTATTTCCTCACTTATGTAACATGTGTCACATTGTATTTCAACTCCTTCTTACCCCCCTCCTAGGGGAAGTTCTCTGGAGCACATCTTGCTCATCTTTGTACACCTCCTGATGTACGTGAGTTTGTTGACTGTCCAGGAATGAAGCTGCTCCCTAAGGGCCCGGCGCCCAATTCCCATGGTTGGGAGGTGGACCTCCTTCCCACATCATTTTTTTGCTTCTCTTTACATATAAATATTATTTCTCTTCTTCAATTTCTATTTTCTTTTATAAAAACATTTCATCATTTGCCGAGAAGTTTGAATTTAACCTTAAGCCACAATCAGAACTGTCAACGGTCTCCTTAATCTACATGAGGTACGATTACCTGGTTTGGCTTTATGTCACCTGTGCTTTTTATGTTGTATGACCTCCCTCAAGCCAAAACCATCTCTGTGTGTGAGCTGTAACTCCTCCCTCTGCCCCCACACCCTAAGGTTTGATTCTTCCTGGGTTCTACACCATCACACATAGTATTCCAAAGTTTAGAAGCCACTGAGAAAACAATAAAATTCTCAAGTAAAAGGGGGCAAAAAAAAGGCATGCTCATTACATAAAGGAAGCAATACACTTGAAAGAAGTAATGTGTCAGAAATTAAAACTTAGGGAAGAAAAGAGACTCTCACTTCCAGAGGTCTAAGGATTCCATATATTTGTACACATTGATGGCAACACAACGATGACAAAATGAAAGCAGATTTCCTTAGCTTTGTGATATGGCAGTTTTAGAATAAGGACTGACAGTGTTATGAAAACAAATGACAGAAAGGGAGGTATACACTTTATGTACTATACTTATCAATAATCTTTTGGAAAATGTGAAAGAACTCCTAATAATGCATCTTTCAACTGGCAAGTTGAAGCAAAAAAACACCACAGGATAAGACCAGTCTATCTCACATGGATGTGAAAGCAAAATTTTAGATCCTAGAGAGCAGGTTGTTCATATTTATAGTAAACATAGCTAGTCAGCGCTCATCACCTTGTGTTGTATCTAGTTTGTTTTCTTATAAATGCAGCAAATTTAATTCCATTTTTATAATGAATGGTTTTGCTCAAAGGGCTAAGGCTCATGATTTGGGATAAGAAACTTAGTTCAGAAATCTACACTTTCCATCGACGGGCCCTTCCTGTTCTGGTTCTTAATCATTGTTATACCAAAACCCAGATGAATGGAGGAAATTTGGGCTGGACGTTTACAGAACAAACCCAAATCTCTGACCCTTCTCAGCCTTAATGGCCTCTCTTCTATCCAGCAACCATTGGTTGCTCCACAAGAATGAAAGAAAGAAACCAGAATGACTCCTCACGAAATATAGTGAGGAAAACAACTTCAAGGAGAGAGCAAAGAGTTAATCTCCCCTACCAACCCAATCTCCTTCTCAAAGACTGTCCTCCATGGTAGCTTGCCACACTCCCCCCCAACAACAGCTGCTCATGATAATCAATGTCTGACAGATCAGAGAAAACCCTTAATGTGTTGCCATGGGGCAGTTCAACAGATGGCATGGTGACTTACAACCAGAATCATTAATTACACTCTCTTATTAGTCCCGGGGCACAGTGCTGAAAGTGCTTCCTCAGTGAAAGATGAGCATTTCAGATAAATGACTGTCTGGTACTGCCTGTGAAACTTCCTTTAGGATTTCTGGTCAGTGCTGATTTCTAAATCTAAGCCACACTATTTTTTTTTTTATTACAAAGTT